CGTGTTAGCTCTGTTCAGTGTGTTGTTTTTTGTGTAGCACGCGGTTCGTGTTTACATCGGTCACGTGCTTTCATGTCATGTTTTGTCTTGTGCTGTGTAGCACACAGCTTGTGTTTTACACTAGCTGTGTGCTTTCATGTTGTCATGTTCTGTGGGAACGTGGCTTATGACTGTTCTCATTGTTCTTCATGTCTCATTTTGTGTGTGCACAATTGCTTGTAATTTGTTTAACTGGCCATGTGTTTGTGTTTTGGTCATGTTTGGTGTGAGCCAGGGGCGTAGCCAGTATTGGGCCAGGGCGGCACTGGCCCGCCCACATTACTCACTGGCCCGCCCAGGCAAGTTTGATAAATTCATTTTTAGTTTATTTTTATTATTCAAATGTATTTATGAAAATATATTAAGATATACCTGATTTATTGTTGACTGCTGTGTGCGTTTAATTTATTTTCCGAATAAAATTTAACTGGTGAAGCAAGTTGTAGAAAGCCTCCCTCCGGAACGTTATTGGTTGCAATGGTTGCTGGGGGTTCCGACAGGAAAACTCTCAGCGGCGTCGGCGCCACAATAATGGCTAAACAACTTTCTTTAATGTGCTATTTAAAAAAAAAAACAGGAGTTGAGGAAGAAGACACGCCACTGCCTTCATCTACCGAGTCCACCCAGGCCAGTTCTTCCGACTCATTACCCCAGGAGAAGGCTAGTCAGGTGCTGGCGCCGGCCGCTTCTTGCTCCCTCTCTCCCCGTCAGCCTGACGCGTGTTTATCCGCTGATCTAACTGTGATATTATTATTTTTGCTTACTTTATTTTCGGGTGAACTGTATTTGCACTGCTGAATAGCCTGAATAAAATAGACAGGTTATTGTCTATAGGCTACTGGTTTGTCCAGCCTTTATTGAGCTCTGTTGGTTGAACATGATGATTTGCCGAATATAAAGGTGTAACTGTTTTTTTAGTTTGTCTATTAATGTTCATTGTTATTGAAGTCATTTTTTCTAGGAAAAACTATAGGCCCAGTCATATTTTCACTGGCCCACCCAAAATACAATTTCTGCCTACGCCACTGGTGTGAGCACATGGCTTGTCATGTGTTTTCCTTGTGCCATGTGCTCTCCTGTCAATTGTGTAGACTCCCATTTTGTTTCCTGATTATTAGTTATTTTGCCCCACTTGTCCTCCCTCGTTACCTGCCTTTTTTGCTCCCTATTTATTCTCCTTGTCCTGTGCTGGTTCGTAGTTTTTGTTTGTATTTTTTTATTTTATTATTAAAATAAAGCCCATCAACTCTGCACCTGAGTCCTCGCTCTTTTCACCATCCCCACACCTTGAAAAAAAAAAGAGCTTCCCCTCTTTGAAAGACCAGCAGCCGCCACTGGTGCTGACCCATGTTATGTCATGCTGTCGGATGCTGCTGGCCAAAGGAAAATTACTCTGCAACTAATTTATGTACGTGAAGGATCGTCGTAATCACAGGCAGGGGGTTTATGGGAGAATTAACATGAAATGGATTATTTATTGTGACATAAATTGACCAGCCTGTCTTGGCTTGTGGATCTTATGGTAAGAGCCACTGTAACCGGGGCTAATGAAATGCTCCCACAATCAGTCTGTCCTGCTGCCCTCATATTTTAACTTGTTGAAATTATGCGACATGTGGGAGCCATCAAACAACACAGCGGCAATGTAAATCTCCTGTTTCCGTTTCTCTAGAGCTGCCGGGAGGAGGAGGGGGGGGGGGGGACGCACGTCTTTGCTCATTCAGCATCTGGCCCTGCATCAAACCGATGGCCAGTTTCCCCAAAACATATCACTGACTTCACAAAACAGGCCTGTAATGACTACCAGAGGAGCAGTTCAGTGAGGCCTGACTACAGTTTCTCCATTTAAAATCAGCTTACGCACCATCACTGAGCAGTTTGACATCCATTATTCATGAGAAGGGAAAGAATTGCTGATATATTCATTTTATGATGATGAGCAAAAGTGATCCCTCTAAGTTGGTGATCTGATGTTGCTTCCACATAGACCAAAAGAAAATCTGCACAGCAAGGAGACAATGTTTTTTTTGTAAAATCTAGTTCTGAATGGATATCCAGGATTTAAATTCACTGTAAACCCTAATGCTCAAAATTATTATTTGGTTTGAGAAGGGTAAACTTAAATTAATTAGTTTAGTCAAATTAACTTTTATGAGTACTTAGGACTTTCTTTTTCTTTTGAGTTCACAAAACTGACACATTTTAGGTGACCTGAATTGTTTCATTGTTTTGAGTTTTATGAACTTGTTTATTTTAATTTAGACAAACTTAAATTGAACTGAAACGAGGCTTGGGTTTCTCCAGTATTTCCCAGCATGCTTTGCCATGACACATTAAAGGGAGAGTAAATGCTAAAATTAAGTGTTATAAAATGTTTTTTTTTTTGTGTGCAAGATTAATGTTAAGTGGGAGATTTAGTAGTGTTTAATGTTTTGCAATGCTAATTTAGAAGAGTTTCTGTTATGTGGTGTTTTTTGGGGGGTTACCATCATGTGACAAGTGGAGCATGAGCTTGGTTTGAGAACAGATATGTGTATTTTATACTGAAGTACTCATTCAGCAATTGCTATGCTATGCTAATTCTATCAAAGCAATGTTACCAATTAGCAAGTTAGCATTTACTGAATTAACAAGTTAAAGCTAGCCAAGTTTCCACTACTCAAAATATTTAAATTGAGATTACATAATAATTGTAAGTTAAATGTATGAATTTGCTTACTCAAATACTTAAGAGCAACTAAAAATACAAAATAAAATTCGACCAGTTCTGCATTTTTTTTTTATTAAAAAACGATGTAACTGATTACCTAAATTTGTTTTGTTGAGTTTTGTCAACTTATTCGGGTTTACAGTGTTCCATATTGCATTTTTATTCATTCTGAGTATAGAATTGAAGCTGTGAGAAGTCTTATGTGGAGACGCAACACTTGTGGCCTAAAACATACTCTACTGCTTCTGGTTCTGGTTTTAACATATTGTTACTAGAGGGGGTAATAGAGCTACCTTCAAATGTTTACCATGTCTACCATTCTATATATATATATATATATTATATATATATATATAAACAAAAGTAAACTTGCACTGCATTATGAATGGTCTGCCTCAATAGACTAAATTAAACTTGAAAGAAAGCATTTGCTTTCACATACTAAGTTGCGTAGAGTATGTTTTGGGTCTAATTCCAACAAAAAATATTATTATAACATATTATACAAATATCAATAAAATACATTAACATTATATAAATCAATATAAGAAAAGATTATAAGAATATATAGATATTGTGTGTGTAATTATATATATATATATATATATATATAGGCCTACATACACAGTAGCAATAACTTAAAAAATAAGATCTCAGATATATACTATATATTATAAATAAATAAAATACACAAATATTAAATATATATAATTTCTCATATAATTAATTATTAAATAATACACATCTACACAATGATACACAAGTACATGTATATATATATATATATATATATATATATATATATATATAAATAAGATCTTGTTACAAAAGTTATTGCTACGAAACTCTCCAAAAGTCTTTAGTTGGCACAGCACACACTGCTTGGGTCTGGTACTTAGAAGAGTACCAATAAAAATATGATTTGCTCAGCAAGAAAAAATAAATAAATTAGGGAACATTGCTGAGCAGAACAACTCCTAAAATTGATCTAGGCCTATTTGATGTGGGCAGTCTGTCCAGAACCGCTGACAATGAGAACTGTCCCCGGCCCGGACCCTTCGACGGGACCTCCCTGCAGTTCTGAATGGTGAGAAAGTATCAAAGACTTACTGACCTCCATATATCACACCATTAAGAACTGCTGACAAGAGAAACTGGCCTTTTGGGTCTCTTTTCCCCTTTTTAGACATTTCCTGTCACACCGTAGGGTCTGCGTTCATGAATATGAACTGTGATCAGAAACACGTGTGTGAAAAATCTGGGAAATGTTTCAAATTTGAGGTGTGCAGTGCAGTCCAAGTTGCAATTACATGCTGATAATATTTCAAGGTCACAGTCATTCACATATAATGATAATTTTGTCCATTTAATCTATGTTTTTGTCTATGTGGAAATGAGTTACTGCCATACTAACTTAATATTTTTTATTCTACATTAAACCAAATTAACTGATTAACAAACATACCTTTTCATTCATTTTGTCATTCTTTAAAGCTGAAGTGTGTAATTTTTGGGATGTTAAAATATTTTAATTGAAGTATGTATATGCCTACGTCCGCATCATTCATATCTCATATGAGTGAACGTCATTATAATGGTATTAATTAAAAGTATTATTCATGCACTTATGTGTAAAACATTTTTAACGAGGAAAAAAAGTACTGAGTGCACCTTTAAACTGCTCCTTGATATTTTCTTCTGGTTTCTGTTTCTTCAGTTAACAGGGAAAAAGATATTCCAATGCTAATTAAGTTTTGCACGCAAAGGGAATGAAATGGGCACAGCAAAGCCAAGAGTCACTGAGCAATAACCTTTCTCAAACAAGGCAACAGTTATGCTTATACATAATTTGGGCTTTTACAGCAGAGGAAACCCTTATTTTATATCTAACACATTTTGGGACTCAGTATCCCCTCTACATAATATATTTTTCAGAAATTGACGACACAAAGTAGTTTTGAAAATATTAACATTTCTACTTTGAGAGGATCCTTAGAATCTAATCTGTCTTCAGACCACTCAGTAGCCTACTTCATATAGATAAATAAAAATAAAAATAAAAAATTACTTTCGTGCCCTGACAGAAGGAAGAGGTTAATTTTATAAATGTAAAAAAGGTTTCACATATGTTCCTACTTTTGTTCAACACTGCCAGAAATTTCTGAAAACATTTTAAAAATCAGGCAAAAGAAAACGTCAGCTGTCACTGAAGGTTCAGGTCCTCTTTGCTATTATTTAACCTGCTGTGAGTGAGTTTAACAACAGAACACAGACTTTGGTAAGTTTTGTTAAGTTTTTAATAGTAATTTGCTTTTATTTTCTGTTATGAACTTACAACCTAATCACACAGTTAGTACGTTTGGGATTTTTTTTTAGATACTTTTAGATATTGAGAAATTTTACCTCATTTAAAAGATAGGATGTAAGTTAGCTAGGATGCTAAAAAGCTGAGATCTATCTATCTATCTATCTATCTATCTATCTATCTATCTATCTATCTATCTATCTATCTATCTATCTATCTATCTATCTATCTGTCTGTCTGTCTGTCTGTCTGTCTGTCTGTCTGTCTGTCTGTCTGTCTGTCTGTCTGTCTGTCTGTCTGTCTGTCGGTCGGTCGGTCGGTCGGTCGGTCGGTCGGTCGGTCTGTCTGTCTGTCTGTCTGTCTGTCTGTCTGTCTGTCTGTCTGTCTGTCTGTCTGTCTGTCTGTCTGTCTGTCTGTCTGTCTGTCTGTCTGTCTGTCTGTCTGTCTGTCTGTCTGTCTGTCTGTCTGTCTGTCTGTCTGTCTGTCTGTCTGTCTGTCTGTCTGTCTGTCTGTCTGTCTGTCTGTCTTTCTATATCTGTCTATCTGTCTATCTATCTAGGCTACATGAACTCAAAGCTAGTGGCTATTAGCTATTTTTTTTAAACGATATGTCTCATTCAGACTTCTTTTTTTCAATAGGAAATACATCAACACCACACTCTGGTTAGCATGGGTCAATTATTCCCTGCTAGTCGAGGCTTGAACTTCACCGAGGTAAAAAGCATATAATATTCATAATTATTAAATAATTGCAAATATTTTGTTATATTATTGTAGATTTATCAGATGGCCACCTGCAGATGAATGGTAATTATATCATGGGAAAGAAAACTGGGCTTGTCAAGCCATGTCATCATGGGATATATTTAAATATGGTAAATGTATACATAGCTGAGAGGACTACACTCTATTTGGTATAGCTTAAAGCATGATAAAATTAGCCAGACTCTTTAATAAACAAACACACAAAGATATGGGTATGTGCAGGAATCTGCCAGGAATTCCAAATCTTTGGAAATGTGTGGAACTTTCTTTGGAGTTCTTATTCCATGTGGCCGTATAGATAACTGACTCAAAGCACTTTCATATGTGCCTGGAGCTCAGCTGTGTGATCGGCCTCGTTCTGATCACCCTTCTTTCGGGAACATGAATAGGCCTATTACGCAATGCAGAGCAGCGCTGCACTATTTTGTTGAAATCAAGCCTGTTGTTTCCAATTAAGCATCAAACGAAATCCGTGACACAGAATCAGTAACACTTACTGTATGTTATCATTTATATTATGCACCCACACAGGTCTGTGTATATATGCGTGAGTCTCCTTCACAGGTGCAAAGCGGTGGATGATGAAGGGTTGTCTGAAGGCTAGAGATCCAGCTCAAATGCATTGCAGATGTCTGATTTAGTCTGCCTCACTGTTGCAGAACGTTAAAACATCTGTACAGCTCACATTTATGGCTTCTTTTCTTTGCCCTCTGCCATAGAAAAACAACTCTGCCCTTTAATGAGGCCAAAGACAAGTGGAGGCTTCCTGAGCCCCGTGTGGGCACTTACAGGAGAATGTCAAAACGTGAACAGCACCTATCTGGTGTGCGGACAGACTGCTAGTTAGTCTTAAACGGTTAGTTCACACACACAGATTAACATTTTTGGTATTATTTACTCACCTTTGTGTTGTTCCAAACCTCTTGGACTTTATTGCTTCCGTGAAAACAAAAGGAGAAATTTTGCGCCAGTCGCATAATTTTCATACAAATGCAATGAATGGAGAATTTCGAGCTTTACGGTGGACACAAATGCACCAAAACTACTACTCAAAATGTATGATTTTGTGGTATAGAAGAAAAAAGTCATCAGGTTTGGAACAGCATGAAGATAAGTAAATAAAATAAATAATTATACAATTTTATAAAATATAATAACTGTAGGCCTATATATATATATATATATATATATATATATATATATATATATATATATATATATATATATATATATATATAATGTCTTATTGTATTATTTTTTATTAATTTGATTAATATATTCATAAATATATACTGTATATATAATATATTAATAAAAACTAATATAAGAAATAAGAAATTATATATAAACATATATGTATGTGTATTTATGTATGTATTTAAATATGTAATAGGCTTTATATATATATTTAAAGCCTTGTGAGCCTTAAAGGGTTAGTTCACCCAAAAATGAAAATTCTGTCAGTAATTACTCACCCTCATGTTGTTCCAACCCCGTAAGACTTTCGTTCATCTTCGGAACACAAATTAAGATTCTCGTCTCTTGATAAACTTAAGATTGAGCCACTGTAGTCACTTGGACTATTTTACCGATGTTTTTACTAAATTTCTGGGCCGGCAGATATCGATTACAATAGAAGCCTATGGAGGAGTGAGACAGCTCTCAGATTTAATCAAACATATCTTAATTTGTGTTCCAAAGATGAACGAAAGTCTTACGGGGTTGGAACAACATGAGGGTGAGTAATTACTGACTTTGTGTGTAAAGCAGACTGGAATTCAAATCATTATTCACTGATAACCATCCTCTAGTAAAGGGGTCTAACTCCCATGTCGAAAGGACTTTGTCATGGTTCCTGCAGCAGTGATTCTCTTGACACTAGATTCCCTCGGAGCACCACATTCTCCAAAACTTCCACAATTCCATTCTTCAGAGCTATTATGCTTTGTCTTGCGAACTTTGTGTACTAATTGATTAATTACTTGAAAAGATGCTTTCTTCCTCTCAAGGGAAAAGTCAATGCTAATTGCTCAAATACAACCTGCCGTGAGGTTTTGAGGACTGCATACGCTTACAGACGAATCCGTTATGATAAGATCTTTGCAATGATAAGCAGCCGCATGCTGTTTTTGGATGTTCTGTAAAGCCAATCAGACGTACTGTAGAGCTGTTCACAAAGCCCCAATTATCACGTTTACATTGTCTGGACAAATAGTTGCTTTACATGTTGGGCATTTTATTTACCTTATCATTAGCACCAAAGACTTCACATCAAACAGAAGACACACACACACAATTATTGGGTATACCTGGTATATATTAGGTGTATACCCGGTTTCACAGACAAGATTTAAGCCTAGTCCCAGGCTAAAATGCATGTTTGAACTGTCTTATATTCTATTGTTTTGTCACAAGATGCAATTGTAATTGTCAAGATGCAAATACAATTGTCACAAGATTACAATTGTAATCTTTTTTTTTCTAAGGCACGTTTAAAAAAGCTATACTTAAATGTCCGAATTTAACTAAAGCCGACCCCTGGCTTAATCTAAGCCCTGCTGTGAAACCAGGCCTTATAGAGTTCTTGTTTATTTCCCAAAGCGGATCATTCAGCTTTTAAAATGTTTTATACAATTTTAGCTTGTGGATCAGTGACAAATAAGAATGTCAAAGATATTTTAAAAATGTAGTTTAAAACACATGCACCATATAGTTAAACAGTCAAGTAATGTATTAAATATTAATGATAAAATATTTTCCTTACACTTTGAATAAATATTTCTTCACATCTTAACTACAAAGCATTTTAAGGTAAAAAATATTTCCATAAACATTATGAATATATTATGAAAACCTGAACTAAATCTCTTTTTTTTTTTATAATAATAATACGTCAAATTTAAAATATTTAAAATCGTTTTAGGAAATAAGGTCAAACTACTGTCAAAGTTTTTGAGTATTTTTTTTTAATCTGTGAAAAAATCTGTTTAAAATCTTTGTGAAGTTACACCCCCTAGACAATTTTACTTTCAAATATCACTAAAATATTAAAATGACTTTTAATTCAAGCATATTTACCATAAAAGAGGTGGATTCATGTCCTTGTCTGTGTGAATTTTCGGAATACTGTAACTTAATAGATGCAATAAATGAATAAAAATACGTATGAATGTAAATCAAGTCATCAACATCTACAAGACTTTCCCCTTGTCAGTATCTGCATCTGAATTTATAGTCATCAGGGAGCTTTATAGTCGTTTTAGTTGAGTTGTGCACCTGATGGAGAAAAATCATTACACTTGCCACTTGGGCTTCATAAAGCCGTAACCTCGATGTGTGCGAACGTGAACTGCAGCAAAATAAAAGACTACATGAACTGAAAGTCAATTTTTAAAAAAAAGAAAAGAAGTATTATTTGGGTGTGATATTTTAATTAAAAAAAAGTATTAAATTATAATCAGGTTATAAATTTCACAACACATTTTTATGATTGTCCAAAATGACGTTGGTTTTTAAAAGCATATAGTGTGTGTTTTCCGTGAACTCTAGTGTTCCTCTCGTTAAAAACCACATTGTGGTTACAAGGTGCTACAACGCGCTGACGCCAGAACTGGGAAAAGCGCTGCCAGCTGAGAGAGCCTGTCCAGCGGCCCCAGGTGGGATTTTTCCACCTCAGAATGAAAGAAAATAAACACGTAGCGATCCCGCAGGGTCGCCCAGTTTCCCGGGAATCACCAGGGCAACCGCAGCTCTGGGAACACTGCCTCACCTGGGCAGGACGTTCACACGCTTCCCATGATTCCTTTCCAATGTTCTCTAATGGTCAAAATGACCTCGAACAATTATTACTGAACCTTGCTTTAATTTGGGGTGTGCTGCTTTTTTATGGGCTTCTCCCAACCCTGCGTGTTACCCATGATTTCATAAGCGCTGGATGGGACCCGTCGGTTAGGGGGGTACGGTGGGGTCACGCAGCTGACGGATTTTCTTCCAGCGCCCGCATGCGCGAGGCCAGGACACACACTGCGCACAGTGATGGGAGCTCCTCACTGACAAGGGGAAGAAAAGAGTTTGATGTGTTGCCACAGCCCCTGGACATTTCATCCGAACATCTGCCGCCAAGCCCTTTGCACAAGTCTTCTCTTCTCCCTTGCTAAAATGGAGGAAGTTCGGATGAACTTAGACCGGAGGCGGCGACACGGTCGCACATGTCCCTGTAGAGATGGAAGAACAAATAGAGAGGTGCCGTTTTCAAGGTCTATAATACCTGGACAGAAATAACCCTTAGCATTCCCATTCCTTGTACAGCGCATGACCTGCTTGATGCCATCTTTGCTCTTGTTCAGGCAGAGCCATCATGACTACACAGACATCATAGACTAGCAACTACCGTGAGCTAATAGCAAAGCTAGCAGACAGGGAAAAAAGAAAGTCCTCAGTCCCAAAATAATCAGGCACTGGCAAAACATCTACTATAATACAATTCATTATTTGCAACTTCTCTGTTTTTTGCTGAATATTTTTTCATCAGATTACATGGGTACTTTTGAATGGCTGCCAATGTCCACTTTAAACATTCTACTAACTATAAATAACCTTGTAACTACATCAACTATCATCAGTCATTAGAGTATTAGTAGACTGTCTGCTTAATATCTGCCAACACTTTATTTTGATGCTCCCCAACAGACAGTCTCTACTAATACTCTAATGTTGACATGTAGTTGGTTACTTCTAGTTAGTAGAATGTCTAAAGTGGATTATTAAAATAAAGTTAAACCATGAAAAAACTTTTTTGGCTGATTTTTGGCCCCATTATGCTGTAGATGCAACATGTACCAGCAGACCATGCTAACCAGCCAAACCTTGAACCTGGTGCTCATTCATATCTTAATAAACCATTTACATAAATCTGAATGGAATATGTGCAAATAGAAGGGGGATAAAGCCTGTATAATTCAAAGAGTTGGGAATTAAAACAATGGTTATAAAAACATTACATTACTGGTAATCTTTAGAAATTTGGGACAATATTTAACCATTTCTCAGCAAATATTAGAATTGAATAGAATAGAATATAGTTAATATGTGCTATACCAAATGAATTTGTTTAATTAAACCCCATATATTGAAAAACAACATTGTAACTCAGTCAAAACAGCCAGTAACAGAATATCAGAAAGAACTATTTAACATAAACAGGGCATTGTGTCATGTTTAATAAGCTGTTGTTTCTACAAAACAATAGTGAATATCCCTCGGAATAAATGCAAACATTCAATTTAAAAGGCCTTTGAGAACTTGATGTTAAATCACTGCCTCCTAGTGGCCACCTGGAGAACATTCACACCTTCATTACAGAAATATCAGTAAACAAAGTAAAAAAAAAAAACAGGGGGGAGGTGTATTCTACAAAGAGTCTCTTCAAACAAATATAGCTGCTAGAAACTAAAATGGTTAAAAGAACAAATAACACAGAACATATCTATCGCCAGTGTAGTGCTATGCTTTCTACAATAATTTGGTTTAACAACAAACTCCATGATAGTTCTAGAAGCACATTAAAATAAGTCTTCTAAAATTGTTCAGAAATACCAAGTAAAATACAACTCTCTTAAAATTCTTTACATTTTACCAGACCGTTTAATCACAGAAATCCAATCGAAAACGGAGCAGCTGTGAGAAAATACATCTATTGTTACAGACATAAATACAGTCTCTGTAAGGAAATGAAGACACTTTTTGACAGTACATTCATAGATTACAGAGGATCATAAATAATTGCACTGCGGTGACCTCTCATTGAATCAGTAACACATTTAGAGGTGCATTTCGAATTCTGATTCCCTCCTCAAA